CCCAGTCACTGCCCATCAGCCCCAGTCACTGTCCATCAGCCCCAGTGACTGCCCATCAGCCCCAGTCACTGTCCATCAGCCCCAGTGACTGCCCATCAGCCCCAGTGACTGCCCACCAGCCCCAGTGACTGCCCACCAGCCCCAGTGACTGCCCATCAGCCCCAGGGACTGTCCATCAGCCCCAGTGACTGCCCACCAGCCCCAGTGACTGTCCATCAGCCCCAGGGACTGTCCATCAGCCCCAGTGACTGTCCATCAGCCCCAGTGACTGTGCACCAGCCCCAGTCACTGCCCACCAGCCCCAGTGACTGCCCATCAGCCCCAGGGACTGTCCATCAGCCCCAGTGACTGTCCATCAGCTCCAGTGACTGCCCATCAGCCCCAGTGACTGTCCATCAGCCCCAGTCACTGTCCATCAGCTCCAGTGACTGCCCACCAGCCCCAGTCACTGTCCATCAGCCCCAGTGACTGCCCATCAGCCCCAGGGACTGTCCATCAGCCCCAGTGACTGCCCACCAGCCCCAGTGACTGCCCACCAGCCCCAGTGACTGCCCATCAGCCCCAGGGACTGTCCATCAGCCCCAGGGACTGTCCATCAGCCCCAGTGACTGTCCATCAGCCCCAGTGACTGTGCACCAGCCCCAGTCACTGCCCACCAGCCCCAGTGACTGCCCATCAGCCCCAGTGACTGCCCACCAGCCCCAGTGACTGCCCATCAGCCCCAGGGACTGTCCATCAGCTCCAGTGACTGCCCATCAGCCCCAGTGACTGTCCATCAGCCCCAGTCACTGTCCATCAGCCCCAGTCACTGTCCATCAGCTCCAGTGACTGCCCACCAGCCCCAGTGACTGTCCATCAGCCCCAGTGACTGCCCATCAGCCCCAGGGACTGTCCATCAGCCCCAGGGACTGTCCATCAGCCCCAGTGACTGTCCATCAGCTCCAGTGACTGCCCATCAGCCCCAGTGACTGTCCATCAGCTCCAGTCACTGTCCATCAGCCCCAGTCACTGTCCATCAGCTCCAGTCACTGTCCATCAGCCCCAGTCACTGTCCATCAGCTCCAGTGACTGTCCATCAGCCCTGTTTATGTGAAAAGAGGAAAAAGTTCTGTATTTTCACTGAATTCCTGTTGTCTTTGTTGTGGAAAGCGGAGCACTGGGGTACTGGGAGAGGTGCTCTGCAGACCCCGTTCTGTCCTCCAGGATGGAACCAGAGCAGATCCCCTATGCCTGGATGTGGTGTGAGGCACAGCTGGGTCCCAAATTGCTTGTCAGATTCCTAGCACAGCGCTGTGGGGCAGGGCCAGGAACCTGTTACAGCATTTATGGGCTCACCCGGAGGCACCAGGCCCCAGAGGCTGGGGTCCCCAGCAGCTCGGCTGCTGCCCATCCTGCTCCTCAGGGAGCTGTTGGCTGCCTTGCCAGAGCCTAGGAAGCTGCTGTAAAACCCCACTGCGATGGTTTCCAGGCATCACAACGTGCCAGAAAAGCCACTGTCATTTATGAAGTGCCATTGCTGGTACAATGCTTGAGCAGGGTGTGAAGAGCTACAGCAAAGCCAAGTAAAAGCTCAGTAAATGTGCTCTTTCGAAGCATGTGTGGCAAAGGGGGGGAGGCTGTGACTTCCCTGGTGCTTGCTCGGGAAGAAGTCCCTCACCATGTCCTTAACTTACAGCCTTTATTCTATTAGCTACAGCCATACAGTGGGTTTATGCTTTGGTATGTATAAAGCCCTGCTGTCAGTATCAGTTACGTAGTTTACAGGTCACCAGCCTCCAATCCTGAACTCATCCCATTTGTAGAGGACCAAATGGGGTACTGGGATGTCCGAGAATGATCCCAGTGAAGGCAATGAGTACCAAAGGACACCAAACTCTCAATTAAAACTACAGGTCCACTTTGCAGCCTTAGAGAAAAACCATAAAGAAGTGACATAAGCTAATAATACATCACTGAATTTATGGATCCAGCTTACACCTCCAAGTAGGCTTTGTGCTCCTCCAGGCCCATAAGGCCAGGTCACAGCACCATGAATTAAATTTGCATTTGGCTGCAATTAGAAGGATAAAGAATAGAGCAAACATACCAGAACTGTCCTGCTAAGAAAACGAGGAAGAACAGACGTTACTGCAGGTACCACAACCAAGCAGAAATTCTTACAGGGTCCCAAGCTGTGCACCCGCAAGGGATGGGTCTGAACTGCAGAGCTGAGGTGGCTGCCCCATGGAAGGACACATCTAAGCCTGGCTGCACGCCTCATCCCTGCTTGCTGTGTCGTGGTACTCAAACAGGAACACGGTCATCGGCTAGAGTCAAAAGGATAAAGTGTAAACCCAACAGGTTCTGTACGTGACACAGCAGAGTAACAGATCGCCAGGGGTCCCTTTCCCCTCCTCACCCCAGTCCTGCTGACATCCAGGTTTCTGCTGATACCGTAGTTGGAATCCATTTGCTTCACCAAGGAAATCAAACATCCCCATCTGCAAGCCTGAACACGCCAACACGTTAAAACAGAAGAGACCTGGTGCAGAAGAGGATTTTAACACGTTAGCTAACATTTAAAATGCCGTGCGTTTTCTAGTGGGACTCGGCACAGATACAACTGAAAGGTAAAACACAGGAACAACCAAAGCACAAGATGGAATACATACACAGCCACGTGTGTGTCCATCAAGGTGGGTACCACAATACCAACATGATGCTTCTAGCCCTGATCTTCAGGTGAAGGGTACGGAGACAGCCAAACAGACGCTGTGCAGGCCTTCCTCAAGCTATAGGACTGATGCTGGGAGACAGCCTGTAGTCACTTCACTTAGATTTCACCTCTGTCAATAGCTGCACCGGAAACAGTGGTTTATCTTGCTCAGAATGAAGGTTAACAGCTGCTGAAGCACCAGTGCCTCTGGGGTGTCAGGGACCACAGCTCACTCCCACTGACTTCAGCCTCCCCAGCCAGCTCGGGCTGACCTGCAAATGGAGACTGGAGAAGTCCCAGATGGATGCACGGCGGGTGCTGTGTGAGCCACAGGAGCAAGGACAAGTGCAAGGTCCTACACCTGGGTCGGAGCAATCCCAGGCACAGCTACAGGTTGGGCAGAGAAGAGATTCAGAGCAGCCCAAGGAGAAGGACTTGGGGGTGTTGGTGGATGAGAAAACGAACATGAGCCGGCTTCAGTGTGCGCTCGCAGCCCAGAAACCAACCGTATCCTGGGCTGCATCCAAAGGAGCGTGACCAGCAGGTCGAAGGAGGTGATCCTGCCCCTCTGCTCTGCTCTTGTGAGACCTCACCTGGAGCATTGTGTGCAGTTCTGGTGTCCTCAACATAAAAAGGACATGGAACTGCTGGAACAAGGCAAGAGGAGGCCACGAGGATGCTCAGGGGCTGGAGCACCTCCTGTATGGAGACAGGCTGAGAAAGTTGGGGCTGTTCAGCCTGGAGAAGAGAAGCTGCGTGGAGATCTCAGAGCAGCTTCCAGTGTCTGAAGGGGGCTATAGGGATGCTGGGAAGGGACTCTTCATTAGGGACTGCAGTGATAGGACAAGGGGTAACGGGTTAAAACTGAAACAGGGGAAGTTTAGATTGGATCTAAGGAAGAAGTTCTTTCCTGTGAGGGTGCTGAGGCACTGGAATGGGTTGCCCAGGGAAGCTGTGAATGCTCCATCCCTGGGAGTGTTCAAGGCCAGGTTGGACGAAGCCCTGAGTGACCTGGTTTAGTGTGAGGTGTCCCTGCCCATGGCAGGGGGGTTGGAACTGGATGATCCCAAGGTCCTTTCCAACCCAAACTATTCTATGATTCTAAGGACTCTCAGATCCAGCCAGGTGTGTGTGTGCCTCCTGTTTGCTTTAGCAAAGGAAATAGCTCTGCATCTTTCTTCAAGGGAGTGAGGCTTGGCTGTGGTCTCTTTCCACATTCAAAGCTGGACCACAAACCCCGCAGTGAGTTCTACCCATTCAGCAGAGCAAGTAAACAAAACCCAGTAAGATTCCTAAGACAATCTTCTGTTCTGGGCTAAGAAAAGGTCAGTAACCCCAAACCAGCCAAAAACGGAAATACAGCCCTTCAGGGAGTAAATTAAGCAAGAGGCATTTTAAGCATGAGGTCTTTCTGGGGGGGAAGCAGTTCAGTAATAAGGTAGGAATAGAATGAGCAGCAGTAAGCACAGGGATGCAAACCCAGGGCCCATTCATAGCTGTTACAAAAGCAAAGCAAAGTACCCGTGGCAGCTTCCTCTCCGGAGCACGCAGGCAGCCTGCCCGAGGACAAGCCCATCCATTCGTTCAGCTGCTTCCCAACAAGAATGCTTTAGAGGAATTTATGGTATTTATTTATGCAAAGTGCAGGCTCAGCAAGGGCTGACTGGTGCCTCTGTGCAAGCCTGCTCCTCAAACCAGCAGGTTAACAGCATGTCAGGGGCTATGAGAAAAGGTTCCGATGGTTGCTACCAACCATCCCATGGAGTAAAGAAAGCCAACCTGAACGTCATTCATCGTGAGGAAGGCTTTTCCATCCTGGAGATGACAGAGCGTGAGAGCAGAGCAGAATCACTTCTGATATGGGTCCACGGCTGAATTACAGCTCCCTCCCTGTGAGGCCTCTGCTCCTCCTCCTCCTTGCCCACCCCTGTCGGTACTTGCAGGGAGCAGCCACCTAATTCCCTCCTGTGAGTGCCTCCTGCTCCAGCTCTGCCAAAGTCTCCCGTTATATGTGCACAATGGGCCCTCAGCCCCGCCGCGGAAACCAGCCCCAGCTTCCATACAGGAAAGGAGTGGGATTTTGTAGTGTTTAAATATAATTCACTTGTATTGCACCAGTGTGTGAGGAGAGGAGCACGCAGCCCCCCCTCTGCTGGCCAGCACAGAGAATGCCTCTAGTATCTGCCTGTGGAAGAGAGGAGCGGCAAAAGCAGAGGCAGAGCAACAAGCTGATGTCTTGATCAATACCATTATTGACTCCGATATCAGACTTGGTCCAATATGAAAGACAGTTCAAAACCAGATGTGAATGGCACTGCATTGCTTTTATTGTAAGTGTCTTTACACAATGAAAGATGTTGGAATGCAAGTTGTTACACATCTTACACAAGATACATTGACAACATCGCTGGCTTGATTTGCCTTACAAAACTGTTTCTGAAGGGTTTCCACTTATTTCTACTCACAGCAACCTCTACAACGGGGTAGAAATTAAACAACTAACAACAAAACATAAACACCACAGAAAATCCAGACAGACTTCTGGAACCTTAAAAATACCCAAGCCTGATGGACAATGCAAGTTTTTTGGTTGGATTTGGAGTGTTTTTTTAAGTAACGTGGAACAGTGAGACAGAGTTGTACTTTGAGTGACTTTAATACCTGAAGATATACATAAATACCATGCCTATGGAGGCAAGATGAGCAAGACCCATTTTCCTACCTTTTTAATATCTACTATTCCTGCCTCTGGCACGAGGACCTGCCTGCAGGATCCCAGTTTACAGCTGGAAGCTGGCGGCAGGAACGGATCATGAGCCGGCACCATACAAAGCTGAAAACTCCGACCCCACGCATATTCCTGACCAGTACCTTTCCCCTCCACCACCAATCAAGTGCCAACAAAGTCAATAAGCACATCATGTAGACTTGAAACACACCACAATGAATCTGAAAAGGGCCGATCTGTGAATGATTTCTCTCTATATGAACATCAGCAGCCTGGTTTATTCACAAATGACTTTATTCATTTTTAAATAGAAAAAAGAATCTGTCTAGACTAAAAAAGGTTGGTTATAAAATAGCATAAAGCATAGGAGCCTGTGTCATTATACTGAGGCCTATCTTCCTCCTACTAAAACACAAGATCACAAAATTAAAGATCTAAATTTAAAAGATGCACCCTGGTCTCAAAGCAGAGGCAGATGCTCTGTCAGACAGACAGGATGCCACACAGAAAAAGCCTGAATGAAAAACAGCAAACGAGGGCAGAAACTGCATAAAAACTGGCTAGGCCAGGCAACTGATTGTCTGAAACCATACAAAACAGACTGAAAACGTTTAGAACAAGTTAAAAAATTAACCCTAGATGTTTTATTTCCTAATTTAGTCACAACATAACAGTCACTGGATTTACTTATAAATGTAGGCCACCTCTAGGACTGTGGAGAACAAATGTTACCGTGTCTTCAGAGAGGATCAGAGACAACACATTCAGCAGCTGGATCCACATTTCTCTCCGTGTAGTGTCATTCACTCCTCAGATGTCAGTGCAAACCATCATACCTGGCAGCAGCAGCAGCAGCACTGGCGACACTTCCCACCCATCTGTGCTTCTTCCTCCCATATTCTTCTCTGTGTAGTTAGCAAAACTACTTGAATTTATTTCCATACGTGTATTTGTGCCTCATGTCAAATTAAAAACACATACTTGGCATTTCTGAGAAAGGCAAAGATTAATCTCCACCTCACATTACTAGCCGGGAAGGAATTTTAGCATAAAAGAGTACGTTTCATTTGCATTTAACACTGTATCGACTGGAAGCTGTTGTACCAGTACAGAGCAGAACTTCCTTGAACCCAATTGTGACAGTGAGATAGATATTTTCAGCACTTGGTACATCACACCGTACAATATAAAGAAAAGGATAACATCTTAAAAACGAAACAACACACAACCAGATTTCCTATTTTTCACTATTTCAAGTCAGGTGGATTTGCTACAGTTGGGGGACTAGTCCCTAAAATTAAAGTGCTTGTCAGAGCATTGGCATCCAAAACCTTGAACATGAGATACAACTACAAGTAAAATCTGTTGTCGCTATACATAACATATAGCAGCAGCACAGACATCAACACATGTACTCAGTAAGTGTCTGATTTTTGATACTACCTTGAGCATCACACAGTTTAACAGTGCATAGTACCCCCTACCTCCAGAGTACAATCAAATGCTTTAGGTTCACTCAGTATTGTTGCAGGTGGCTCTGGACGCCTTGTCTGCATGATCTTCTGTTTGGGGTTCTTAATTTCATCTTCCTCTTCTGTCTCACTTTCACAGACATGGACGACTACACTGGGAGTTGATTCTGTTCCTGCATGAAGCTCGTACTTTTCCCCTGAAGAGCAACAAACAAAAATCATGCTAAGAAAATCCCCAAGGAAAAGCCCTAAAACATTTTATCCCCCAAAGTCCTTAGTATTTGCAGTAACACACCCAAATACTCATCTATTCCCATCTCATCTTTAATTTGCTCAGCTTCACCAGATCTGTTAAACATTTCATTCTTCTTCTTGTTTGTTATTTAATACTGAGACCATGACAAAATTCAACACATGGATGCGATGGAACTGGTACCGCACAACCCAGTCCTGTGCTGCACTTTCAATCCATTAATGAATGGAGGGGAAAAAAGGCGATGGATCATTTCATTCAAATAAGAACATCACGAGAGACCCAGTTTCTTCTCATAGGAAAGTAGAGAAACTCCCTTGGTCACTATTTTTGAAGTTAAGTAATACAATAAAAGCAGGTAAATATTCCTACCTGGTCCCAGCTTGGAGACAGCACAAAGCAAGTCATAGTTTATCAGGGGAGTTGCATCTTCACTCTGTTTCCATCCAACTGGTGGAGATGCAGGTGGGGAGATCAGGAACTGTTTAACAGGTTGTGGAGGAAGGAGGTAGGACTTGTCACCTATTTCACTGGATACCTGTACCTGAAGACAAAAGCCAGGGCATAGGGCATAGGATGACAAATGCTGCTAATCCCAAAGAACACGCCTGCAAAGTACCTATTATAAAGAGATCATCGTACCCACCTATCTATCAGCACATTTCTGTTTATCTATGGGAGACAGGGGTTTGTGTGACTGCTACACACCAAGTACAACCCTGTAAGCCCAAGCTGAAAAGCAAATCTATCCCCTAAAGCAATGAAAGTAATATATGTTAGTGTAGAAGAAAGAGGTGGAAGGTAACTTCAGATACTTATCACATATGAAATTCATGGGAAAACATAGAATAAAGAAGAAACAGGGACACATGCAACATCTTGGTGTTCCACAATACCTGTGCAAAGTACAGCTTCAGCTTTTTTCCACTGAAGTCTGTTTCATGCAGCTCTATCCGTGCTCTTGCTGCTGCCTCTGGGTTGCTGAAGTTTATCCTTACTCTTCTAAAGCTTTTAAACAACTGGAATGTAACTTGATTATCGTAGGCAGTGAAAAGTGCTTCAAATCTTTCCTAGAGATGAAGTACAAAGATTCACCAAACACAAAATGAACATTTTCACTCAATGAAAACCCATTTTCCTTTCACTTTCTTCTCCTAAATCCCATTTACTTCTTTACTCGCCTAAACCTGCACATTCCACACTTCTCTCAGTTACCCCGACTTGCAAACCTGCATTCAGGGTAGCACTGCTTTGTCTCCCTATTTAAACCTGAACTGATGTGAAGGAGCCTGTAAAACTCTCCATACACAAGCTGACACCTAGCGAAGGCTCCTCAGAAGTGCAAGATGCCAACAAAACCACTGGCACTTGCACAGTAAGGGCTGGAACTGAAGCTGCAGAGCAAAGCTTTCCTGTCGGTCCCTCCTGCTCTCCCTCACTCATGCAGTGTGCATAATTATCCCTGATGCTCTTGGAAGCAATGGGAAAGTACAGATTTGACTGACTACAGATGCTAGCAGGCCAGAGATTTTCATTTCCAAGGCCCTTTTAAGGTGTTCAGGTCCCAACAGACATTCTGCAGGTTCTGAATGCTTTTAACAGAATCCCTGCCTTGAAAGAAAAAACAAACAAACATTCAAATTTGCTTTTAGATTTTATTCAAATCTGCCCTTGGATAAAGAGGGGGGAGGGAAATCAGAAGAGCTTTTCATGGGAGAAGCACTGTGTATCTATTAACAACTGCAAATGCCAGCACAGCGCAGTATGATCTGCTCTTTGTAATACATTCCCATCTGAGCTTACCAGGTAAATACTTTGGGTTGTTTTTTCCACCCCAGTTATAATATGCATTGAAAATCCAGACAAGAATGTTCAATAGCTGTATCTATACTTAAAATACTATACCACTCTCAACCTTACCTTTTCTTCCTGTACCTCAAACACAGCTTCATGAACACTGCAAGCAAAGAGTGAGGTAGGCAAGTCACTTAAATCCATCATCTCTTCCAAATCATCTTCATTTTCCCCAAAAATCATCTGTTCTTCCTCTTCTTGGTCGCTGCTATAGAGGTCTGACTGGCTGTCACTCCAGGACTTCATAGTGTCTCTGAGCATCCTTCACCCAAAGCAACTCTTCTTTATGTTCCAGTTTCTAGTAGGGGTCTGCTATTTCAAAACACAAACCCAAACCAGAATGTGAAGAGCAATAGAAAACACTAAGACACCGACTTAGAGACATAAAGAACGCATGGCGGGGGGGAACAGGACATAACGGACTCCTAGTTATTCCTTCTTCTGCCAAATTTGGTTAAAGTAATTCAGGGAATTAAAATAAAGTTCAAAGTTCCAGCATGAGGAGGGGTTAGAACTCTGCAAATGCTATTTTGTATTTTGAAACAAAGACACCATGTTATTTCCACCTCTGGTATAACAGAACAGGGCAATTTTCTACATGAAGAGGTGACAATATACAAAAACTGGAGCCGTAAAAGGCAAGGATGACAGCCAGGCACACAGTACAGTTACAAGGTCTTTGCCAAATCAGCTCAGAAATTGGAGAGGGAGCGATAACAAGCAACTGAAATGTTTGCAAACAAATGCTAGGAGCTCAGATATCCTGGAATACTCCATGCTGTGAGAGAGGATGGGGAGAAAAAAAGAAAGGGAAAAAAGGCAACAACAACAACAACAAGTCAAGCTCTAGCTTCTTTTATAATTTAATTTATATAACATTAAACGATTGAAGTAACCTGTGAAACAGACAGAGATGAAGTGATGGCTGCAAGGTTACTGATTTTCATAGTGCATGAACTGGGCTGCAGACAGGAGTGAAACTGTCTTGTCAGCATCTTAACATTAAAGAAATTAAACCTCCAGTCCCCACATTTCACCCAGATCCACGTAAAACAGGCAACTGACAACTGCCACTGCCAACCTGTGTATCCTGCCCTCCAAATGCACACGATTAAAGCAGAGCACCGAGGCAGGACTGCTCAGAAACAGCACTGAGACATGCGGAGACAGCCTGGGTGACCCTCTTTAGGCCTCTGATCACCACAAAAGATCTTCCCTGTAAACCTTTTACAGAGTAAACACCCCTGATATGAGGAAAGTACTGCTTTTTGATATGAGGAAAATACTGCTTTTTGATATGAGGAAAATACTGCTTTTTGATATGAGGAAAATACTGCTTTTTGGTATGAGGAAAATACTGCCTTTTGCTCAACGGCAATTAGTGGTATGATGAAACATCAAACCCTGCATCAATCCCTGCATCAGGATGAATTACTGCACAGAAGAGATGCTCTGCAGATTTGTAAGGAAGTTTAAGAATCCTAATGGAAACCACACAAACCTGTCTAGGCACAAAACATTCAGCTCTGCACACAGCAAACAGCTTCACTGGCTTCAGGTTTCGTTATACATGACTTCATGTAATATTAAATACAGCAACAAACCGTTTCACTGGAAGGTATTTTCTGCTCTGTAAAAAGGCAGTGGCTCTCAAATGATGTGTGTAAACGACGCTGGGGAGCTGGGGCAGCTCAAACCTCCCCGAGGCCATGAAGGAGATTACATTTTTTCTCAACTAGCAGCAAAAATTGAATTACCATCTCCTTCCTTTAAGAGAACAAGAGCAGAAACTCGCACACTCTTACCCTGCAGAAGGCGATGCAGTTATTCCCTTGAATTCCTGCAACCAGTCTGCAGGGAAAGCAATTCAATAGGAGCAATCTTAGTCAAAGTTAAGGAAACATTTCTTCAACAAGATAAACCGCTCTGTGTCATTTCTCTGCCAATTCTTGCTAATATACAAGCACAATCTGAAAAGCTTCCCTGGAAAGCATGGACTACAAAAGCTACTTCAATTACGTATTGAAAAGAATACATCACAGTTATATTTTTTCTTTAATCATAAAACTACGTGGTTAATTATGTTTTTTTTTTCCACTGATTACTTGTTTTTCTGACCTCATCCAAATCAGTATCAGAACACTGAGCAACACAAGAACATCCCTGAAATCAGGGTGAGACAGATAAGCCTGATGTCTGGATGTCAATTAAGAATTACTGTTAGAACAGCACTGTGAGAAGTGAGATATTAACAATCAGGTAGAACTCTTTCATTGTGCAATTATTAGAAAGCATCAAAATCAGAGGGAGAAATACTGCAGGTATTGGAGTGCTTATCAGTGCAACAGCCAAGCTGCTCTGCTTCCCTTTCCCCTAGGCAAGAAGGGAATTACTTCAGTTACCTCCTTGGAAAGGTGAGAAGTCCCTGTTTATGTCTGATATGAAAATACAAGTGCTAGCTGTCCATTGCAATCAGGTAATTATTGCAGTAATATTAAGTGTGAAAACCAATTCAAAATGATGAGCAAATTGCGTAGACAACTCACAATACCCTTTTACATTTGAAGAGGCCACACACAACAGGACTAGAAGGAATCCAAGAACTAAAACCACTTGGATAGGACCTTTAAGTCCTTTCTCCGTGAGTTAATACTTGCGCATCCCTTACACACCAGCCGACGGGTACCTCCGGAACAAGCAAACAACTTCACACAAAGCTGAGATCTGCCGCAGTTTCAGCGAACCGAAGCTGTAGCTTCTGCCACCGGGAGCTCCGGCTCCACGGGCACAGAGAGCGCTGGCGCCGGGGCTCCTCTCCCTGACCGCCCGCCGCAGCTCCGCCACCGCATCCCACCGACAACCGGGTCGCTCCCCCCCCCCCCCAGGACAAGAGCCGAGAACCGGCAATTCCTACACAGCCACAAACCCGCCCTGAGGAGCTCAAGCGCCGGGGCTCAGCGCTACCCGCGAGCAGGCGACGGGCACGGACCCGCACTGACACTCACAGGCGATGGAGGCAAAGACCCCCCGGGGCTGTCCCCTGAAGGGGCGGACCCGAGTCCCCTCCGCCTGCCCCACCGAGCAGAACACGGGCAGCGGCGGCGGCACCGCGGGACGGGCCCGGCCAGGCCTCGCCGCGCCCGCACCGACCCTCCCGGGAGGCGGCGCCGGGGGTGCTCGGCGCTGCTCAGCGAACCGGGACCGGGCCGGGCCGGGCCCCCCGGGGAAAGGGCGGCGGCGGCGGGGGCGGGCGGGGACGGGGGGGGCCACGCGGCTCTCACCGTGCTCCGGGGCGGGAGCGGGAGCGGGAGCGCGCACTCCCCGCCGGTGGCCGCGCGCGCGGGAAGCGGCTGCGTGAGGGGAGCGGCGGGAACGCGCCTGCGGGGGGGGGGTGCGTGCGCGTGCGCGTGCGGTGTCAGTGACCCGGATGGAGCGGGCGGCTCCACGCATGCGCCGGCCCGTTCCCGCGCGCGGGGCCGTGCTCGCCGTGTCCGCGGCCGCGGCCGGGGGAGGCTCATGGCGCCCGCGGGGCTCTCCTCAGCGCCCCGGGGAGACCAGCGGCGCTCACACGGACGAGCCTCGGCCGGCGGGGAGCCGCTCAGGTTGCCCTGGGAACGGCGTCTGACGGAGCGGGCAGCGCCCGGGTGCGGCAGAGCCCGGTGTGGAGGACAGAGGCCTTGTCATGTCCCTGGTTAACAGCCGCGAAACGAGCGTTGGGAGCTGACAGGAGCGTCCCGGCAGGACCGGGGCGGGCACCGTAAAGGCAGAGGGGAGGACGCGGGAGTGACCCGGGGACTGGGGCTGCGAAAGGGCCGTGCGTGCTCCTGGATGGCACCGCGGTGAACGGGCTTCGCTTTGCAGTTGGCCTCGGCTGGGGAACGCGCTCGGATGGAGCAGTGAGAGCTTGTGTCTCTCAGTAAATCATGGCGTAATCCATCGATGATCCTGGACAGTGGTCATCTGAGCACGTACATTTTACATATAAAGACAACGCAAACCAACGTCCTTTTTTTGGTTGTATTCCATTTTCCACAAAAAGCACGCAGAACTCATGAATTCCACCCACACAAATACTTAGTTCAGCAGCTTTGTCCTCACCTGGAAAGCCTGAAGACAGGCAGGATTTTTGACATCAGTACTGAAACTTCTAAAGCTGAGGTACAGAAAAAAGGCAGACAGTAATGACAAGTACTTCACGGGCTTGTAATTAGTTCGCCCACAGTGCAGACCTTTAAGACAACCTTTAAGAGCACCACAGAATTCACTTCTGGAAAGGTAAGGTCAGCTCCACCTGTCCAGACAAGGGATTCAGCAGTTTAGATGCAGTGCTAATTTAGGCAGTAGTTGGTTAGTCACAAATACCTCAGCCTTTCCTGGCTGCAATTACATGCTTTATTAATTCAATACCATGTTCTACCTGCCTGGCCAGAAATATATTCTGCTTTAATACCACAAATTGCCAACATGTGTGTCCTTTTCAGGGGCATGTTAAGTACCCTCTCTTTTGCAAGGACACCTCATTGTTGTGATGCTCCCGACATCTGGCTTGATTGCCACCTCTTTATATTAGCAGTTGACACAGTTGTCTGACACCACACACCAACCCTTAAGCAATGTATGTTAACAAAGTATTACCACATTTATCCAAGACTCTGGGGCTCAGGCATGCACTAGTCAGTGTTTTAATTCTTGTGTCCAGGGATTTCTCTGAGGAACAGCTTTAGCACCAAAGCAGATAAGGCTGCTCTTTCTTTTTTTCCCATTTGTGGTTTGGGACCCCAAGGGATGCATTTAATTAAGAGTATCCTGAGGGTTATCTTCTGCTTATCCCCCTGGACTAAAACCCATATGGTGAGCATTAAATTAGGTTGCAAGCATTCAATTAAGCTACACTGCCATTTCTAAGTTTTCGTATTCTAAATTTATGAGTGTCTGTCTCTCTTAATGGCATTAAGAAATGCCCTTAAACTGTCTGTTCCCGCAATCACAACATGCTGTCCTGTAGCTGAAGGATGACATCTGCAGCTCAGCATTCCCAGCCAGTATTAGAGGTCCTTCCTCCCTGCTGTCTCAGTTTTGGTGCTGAGCTGGTGGGCATGCACAAAATCATGAGTCACACCACCAATAATACAATGCTTTTGTGATCTGACCAGTCCTCTCTCCCCCCTCCTCTAGGCCATACTCGGATCACAATTTCAAGCTCTCCTCTCAAATCATGAACACTTAAGATTTATTTTTAAAGCCCTGTAAAACTAAGGTAGTGAAGCAAATTAGATGATTCCTAAAGCTGACACCAAATACTTGGAGAT